AGAATTACTTGAGTTAAAAAAGAAATAAGCATAAGGTAAAAGGCAGACGCCAAACTGGTAAGATGATCAGAATCCAATAAATCTAACGAATGCCAATGAATCGGAAGTGCCCCATGGTATGATCTACTCTAGAGCATGAACACCTCTATCGCACAAATTCTTTCGTAACCCGGCACACACCAGGTCTCCTTCCTGCGGCATAAATATTCCGTGTCTCTAGGTACTCCGGTTCCACGAACCGCCAAAGAGTGACAAGGTGAATTCGAAACATATTGGACCGCGCGGTGTTTGATCACGTTGCACTAGGAACAGCCGGTGTGATCAAAAAGATCTGCCGGTTGCACTAGGATCAGCCGGTTTCGGACAAAGAAGCCTGATACTTCCTTGGAAGCGTCCTAGTCGGATCCCTTGCGCTTTCTCCCGTCCTGCGGTTTTGTTGTTCCTGACGGGTGCCAAACCTCTGCTTGGTTTCCAAGACCTGTGCTTGGGACAGATTATGAGTTTCCGGTTGCAGAGCCGGGAAGGAGCCAGTAACCAGCCTGGAATGATACCAAGTGGCTCTGCGTGCAAACGGAGCATACTGAGCGTGGTGTTGCTGCGCCTTTATTCATCTTGTATGAATGGCTGTCTTCCGTCCGAACTGGATAAAGAAACTCACATCAGCCGCAATCCGATTGATTTATTATGTGCCTTTCGGTCGGCCAGTTTCGAGATTGCTTAATGAGTTGAAGCCGGGGATATTTGCCTACACCGTGCACTTGGTTGCATGTCATCACCTGCTGTGTTCGTTGAGATCATAATCAAGCTTTGAGAACACTTCAAATGGGGCTGACCTATGCGCTGCTTTGGGAGAGGAGTATAGGTTGTCCTGACGGGTCCCACGCCGCGTCTGCCTTTAGAATTTCGGGCATTAACACAGATTCGGCTGATGCTAAGTTTTTGTTTTAAAGGCTCCACGTAATGACCAAATCCGTTTCATGTTGTGCAATCGCACTCAAATTTTCAGTAGTTTATGGGATATCCGCGTGCATGTAACGCTGAAATAGTTCGATTTTCAGGAAACTTTGACCTTTTTTCCTGGCATAGTAAGGTAGATCATTGAGCAGGCAACATAATCATGGGTTCACGTCGAGACCAATCCACTTTTTTTCTGCGAGGCTCTTTCTTTTTTTCGTTTGGAGACCAATGTCCAGCTCGTGTTGGTATTGGGCCGTGACAATGGAGGAAGTGAATCGTTGGAGTCTGGGATTTGAATTTTGTTGGCAAACAAGATCATCCATGTGTTTAGCGTCGTCGTGAATGTGGACTTACATGCCCGTAAACAATTATTTGAATACTTCGTGGATTTTCAAGCTCCGAAAGCCAAGCCGCCTTGAAACCAATAAGAAAGTTCGCTGTTGTATGCGGCTGTTTACCTCTATTTTTCTCTGCAACTGGCGCGACATTTCTAGCAAATGGGACTCCACACTAGACTCAACAAATAACAACGAGGTTGTGCCGAGACTTGCCCGAGACGTGATGTCTGCTTGCCTGGGAGAGTTGGCCGTGAAACTCCCGGAATTCTCAGGCCTTCTCACAGCACTTCCAGCAGCGGCTGGGATGGGGACCGAGCCGCGGCTGTCATTAGTCCGTGAGCGCCGCCTAACAGACGTGATGCAACTCTGAATAATTTACCGGGGGTGCCAGATCGGGAACAAAGACGTTGCGCCGCGATTAGCAAGTGGCAGCTGAGCAGGAAAGCGATTGCGTCGCTGGAAAAACATCCGCAGCTTAAATCCGCCTCATGTTTGGCGTTTACGAGCGCCGTTCGATGAGCATGACAGACCGCTGAGTAATCCCACGTGGCGAGGCGTTCAGTACAGATGGCTACATCCGGCGTGACATTTATCTGCCAGGCTGCTGCGATCTAGTGTAAACTCCCCCTCCGCAGCGCTGCCGCAAAGGCTGCTGCTGCTTCTGCAGTGGCCGGCACATTTGACCTCCGGGCGATAGCCGCTATACTAATAGACGTTTCACTGTTTTCTAATTGAAATTTCAAGAAGGCTGTGTTTAAACTGGCGCATCTGGTACCTGATTTGTGTTATTGGGTTTGGCGTGGCGTGATTGGCAGGCTTGTTGGCCAGTGGACAGCCACAAGTCGAGTCGTGAGCTGGGGCTAACGGCCGGCCTGGTGGTCTGTCTGTCTGTCCTGCGGCGCGTCCGGTGCGGCAAACGGCCGTGGTAAATGACCTAGAAGCTTAATGTGTCGTAAAGTGACTTGAAATAATTCCTGTTAGTTCGTCTCGGTATTTCAACAGCATTCCAGTGCGAAGAAGCAACGCCAATTGCCGCAGTTTCGAGACAAGAATGGCTTGTGCAGGATTCCGGGAGACCTAACAGGATTCGACGTCGGGATACCGGCACAGATCCTCAACAACAGAACAAACCCAAATCATTAGGAGCGACGCGGCGATGCGGTACATGCATCTAGCGGTCTGTCGAAAAAAACTGGCGCTATCTCTAAGTACATTTTGTAACAACGAATAGTTATTTACCCCCTCACTTGCTGCAAACGCTCGAAGGAATGGGAACGCGGTGGCGATCAGAATTTCGTCCCGTGATAAACACATTAAGTTTGAAAATATGTGCATCATCGTCCGTGACGACAATGTTTGTTTTGTCAGTTGACAGCAGTGATTCAAACATCGCGAATTGCTTGTAATGGCGTCGATATCCAAGTATGCCAGCATCCTTTGTCAGAAATCGTCTCAGTGCAGCAGCATAGTCTGTCCCCCGTGTGGAGAACAGGGAAGACCTGACCCGGCATCCCTCGCGGGCCCGTTTGCCGTTATCTGCTCTGTCGCTACGACTCTGCTTTTTGGTTTTTGACTGGTTGGTTAACGGGATATGGGACAGCTGAGGCGATTAATGTTGAATTATTTGAAGCCATGGTGCAACTAAATGTCGAAATCGATGAAAAGTTGCCTTACGCCAAGTTTGGCCTCCCTAATGCGCGTGGCTGACTCGACATACTTTTAAATATATTTCAACATCCATCATTCCGCTGCACCGCCGAGTCATAGTATTTCCATGACGGCCGTGCAGGTGACGTTAGTCACGGCGGAATCGGAGCACCATCAAGCGGGAGAGGCAGCTGCAGACCTACAGCATCCAGCCTCAGAGCCTGTGACGGATATATTAGCCCATGGGCGTTTTTCCGTGACCCTCGCGGCGCGGGCCCTTCCGTGCCAAGGCAGTCAGGTTCCCTTGGAAGACATAAGGCTGCCGTTGCGTGGAAGATGTTGGTGTTGGCTCCGACCACGCGGTTATTCAGCCCAACTCCGACAGGCGCTCACTCCGGTGAAACACCTGAACTCAATTTCGCTCACGATGGCAGCCTCAAAGATCCTGGCACACTGTCACCCGGCCGCGTCGCTTCCCCGCCGGCGTCGTGGAGCGGTCTCAACGACCGAAGCGCGAGGCTGGCGACCGAAGCGCGAAGCGGCGACCGAGGCGCGAAGCGGCTGGGTCGACCGCGGTGTTGGTGCACCGCGCCGGCGCCGAGCGCTCGCCGACGGAGCTGTCTGTGAACGTGACGGGCGGCCAGCACATCATCGCTGACGTGCCGGCCAGATCGGCGAGCCGCCCAGACTGAGAGGCTGCCCGACGACGTCGACGCTGAGGGCCGGCAATTACGACGGGGCTCCCGACCCCACGCCAACCGACTTTCAGCACTGGCATTGACGCCATTTGGTAGCGTTAACCAAGCATGCAATGCAGGACTCTGACTGAAATTTACGCGGCGCAAATCATTAACCCGCGTCGCACCTGTTTCGAGTTCGTCTTCGGGTGAATCAAGGAAGTGACGCCTTGGCTTGCTCTCGATGTTTGCGTCGGCGAGGAACCAGCGCGCAAAAAACTTGAGCCTCGCGGCGTCACCAGCATGTGACGTCACGATGTCGTTATGCTGCAGTGCGTTGGCAGGCTCCCACAGAGGGCCTGCGGAGAGCGTAGTCACCGGTGACAACGGCTGATGCATGCTTACTGTGTCCGCCTCGGCCCTCGTAGAAGGCCTGAAATAAACCACCCCCATCTGTTTATCTCATGAGTTCGCGGACATGATGCATGACTCAGAACGCGGCGACTTGTTTGCAATACACGGGTCCGTATACAGCGAACTGAATCGGTCTTCTGCGTCTTGCCAGCTGTTTCGCCCAGCAGCGTCTCGCCGTTCGCCATCGAGTCTCGACCCAGCTCCCTTTCACTCGCGTCCCCACGCTGCAACGCCATGCACATCAGCGGCGTCCCTCGCATTCATGGCCAATTTAATTGGCCGCTGCCAGTCGCCGGGCCCCGTTAAACCTGCACCCAACCGAGTTCCAGCGCCGGCGGTGGTCACGACGAACGATGGGCTGTCTGGCCGTCCGGCGGCGGGACCCGGGCCAGCACGCCCGGCGGCATCGTCTCTCCACGTCCGCACCCACCGGCAACGGAGCGTATCCGCCTTCTCGCGCCACGCTCAGGGCAGTCCGTGCCTCGCGAGTGCTTTATGATCCGCGTAAAATCATCGGGAGTGGGTCGCTTGGCGGCAGTTTTCGCGCGCCGGCGCCGAAAAACCCGCGCCTCAGCCCGCGCCTCGCAGCCGGTCTTCGCGGCCAGATGATTGTTGCACTGCATGCCCCGGGAGGTCAACCCTCAAGTAACTTCAGATTTCAACATTGGACATCAAGTGGCGCGCGGAGATAAGCGATTAGCCAATCCGAACCACTTCTATCGATACGCAATCATTTTGGGGTGAGTGACAGGACTGCCGCCGTACGCGGGCAGTGCCGGCGGCCCTCCCGCGGGCGCGCCGAGGCGGCCGCGGCGTGTTTGCACCAGGGGCGGCGGGCCATGGCGACCTGTCGGTCCTCGCCGCTATTGCGGCTGCTGAGCGCTGGGCGCCGGCCAGCGGCTGACTCACCGGCGTGGACAGCCACTCGCCGCGGCATCGCCGGCAGCAGTGCAGCGCCGCGGACCCCGGCGCCCAGATGGGAGCGCGCTGCAGTCGCAGAGGTGTGTGCACGCGGCCCATGGGCCACGGCGCCGGCGCGCCGCCGGTCCGGGTGGGTGGGCCGGGCCGCGGCGGTCGCGCTGCGCAGTGGTGGGGGCTCCCGGTGACGCCGGCGGGGTGGGCGGTCAGGGTCGGAGACCTCACCGCGTGACTGTGGACCGGTCACCGCTGTCGCCCTTTGTGACGCCTCTCCGACGTCTTGTCTTGAAGCAAACGGCCGACTGCCAACATCATTGTACCGTTGTTATGTTTCAGGTAACGACTCACTGTCGAATCTGTCACGGACCAGAGCGGGATCGGTGTCAGTGCCGCTGGACCGCGCCTCACCAACGTCAGCTGCGGAGCGCTCCGCCGCCGCCGCAGTCAAACGCACCCGCAACGAACCGATGATGCCGACCAAGGAGAAGAAGCGCGACGATAACAAGAAGCGGCTGAAGGGCCTGCAGATCTTCCGACGCTCCAAGAGCAAGCCGGCGCTGTCGCCGACGCCGCTGCCGGTGGCTCGCTCGTCGTCGGTGTCGGCATCCACCGACGACTCGTCGCCGCCGCCGGCTGATGGCGCGCGTGACTCGATCAGCGACGGCTCGTCGCTGACGGCCGACCCGGAGCCGTCGCCGGCGCCGACGGAGCTCGGGGCGTTGAGCCCGCTGGCGGAGTGGACGCCGCTGCCGCTGGCCTCGGTGGGCCCGAGCTCCGTCACCGTGACGACCATATCGAGCCCGGCCGACGGCGAGGCCGGCGCCGTCGACGGCCGCGTGACGGAACAGGTGCGCCAGGTGGGCGAGCTCGAGGTGCAGATCCGTCAGACGACGACCGACGTGGACCGCGTCACCGTCCAGGGCAACCGGGACAACGTCGACCCCAACATCATCCGAGCCATGATCATGGACAAGATGCGGGGCATGGGCAGTCTGAAGGGACAGGTGAGTCGGCTGCGGCGAAACCAGCCGATGTGACTGTGATGATAGATCGTCGTTACGTGGCGGTTCCTAGGTAAAAAGTTTGCCAGTGTGGAAGCCTATTGGTGCTCTTCTCCCGCAACAAATTTATACACATGCTGAAGACATGAAATTAAGCAATTTTGCGTGATAGTGAAACGCGGAGTGTACCGCCTAATGACGAAATATGTGGCGCGCGTGCCGTAACGTATTGCGCGCAAATTTTCCACTAAACTGAAAATTTACACGTAAGATATTTTATTGACTTCTTTGCCCAAACAGTCTGAGATCGCTGCGAAATGACATTGCTTCTCTGAGAACATTCAAGTCCTGCTTGAAGAAGCACCCTTACAGCTAGCGCCTTGTATAACGTGAGATGAGCGAGGGACAGTCGCTTCCAGATACCAGTTAAGCATCGGATGGTACCAAAAACACAGGCCAGCCGCGCTAGAGTCTCACTTCAGACATCTGTCACAAACCATACCAGTGAGTCTGATCGATGCTAGATAGGGATGCCGTCTTTCGTGAGAGTTCAACGGGATGGGATTCACTGACGCAGGATTTACGCGTTTATTCATGAATGGCATTGCTTGAAAATTTGGCATGGACCCGGCCCGCCTGGCAGTGTTGTTAGCCAAAATCAATACATTTGCACTTATTTACCTTTTGAACAATTTTTATAAAGTAGTGGTTAGTTTTTTAATATAAATTAGTCCCAATGAACAAGCATCCACAAAGCTTTCGTTTCTATACAGTCTGCATGTCCCAGTGTCTTTCCGGAGGCCCCGGCGTGTGGCATTTGAACTCGCTTTCGAAAAAAGGGACTCGGACCGTTTTCCAGTCGATGGCTGGCGTACCCGTGGGCCGGACCGTTTTGAAACCTGCTAGTGAGTTGTGGCCGGCACATTCGCCTACATCGTGCAGCTAGGTTGCATGTCTTCATTCGCCGTGCCTGCTGAAATCCGACATAAAGCCCAGAGACCGCCCCCAAGCCGTGTTTCCGTGGTTTGCGGGTGAGCGCGCGTGACTATCTGCTTCCATCGACTCACGCTTTTGCGGACACTGCTGCCTGCGTTCTCGGCTCGGACCCGACAGTCTTGTTTCTCTACGATGCCGGGTCGTGGAAACTGGATCCGGTTCCGGCCCGCAATCTCCAAGCTTTAAGCGACTGGAATGTTTTAGGCTTCCATGTTAATTGAAGGAGAGCTAATATTGCCATGATATGGCGGGGCTGCAGAAGACACCATCCTATCGAACAGATCGCGTGTGGTTGCGTAACAATGCATGAGACATAAATTTTAAAGAATTGTTCTTCGGCCTGCGGGTTACTGCACGAACCTGCGATCAGGTGGTTGCAAAGATATTAGCTTTTAGAAAGCGTGAAGGTCGGGCCGGGCCGGGCCGGGCACTCAAGATGAAAGAGTGATCAGTCTGAGTCGGGCTCACTCGGCTTGCGGTCGCGTTCGTATTGGAATTTTGCAATTTCATGTCCAACTGCATAAATACACATAATTTCTGTGTAAGGCTGTAAAGCAGGGAAGTGCAACACGCATTTAAAAAGGCTTGAAAATTGGTAAACAACAGCCCCAAATGGTGTCATTGCGATCCAATCTTAAGTGAGGCATATGGTTATGATAATGCGTTATTATTGATGTCTGGCAATGGTATCTAGTCAGCCGTGGTAAGGATCTCAAATCTTTTAAAATAGCGAACAGTACGGACTTGTCTACCACCGAAGCATGCTTAAGAGTTTCCCAAAAAAGGCTGCCTTCAAAAAACGTCACGCATGGAGGGCGATGTGGTTTTGATGGTGCGTAACGGAGGTGTAACTAGGGAAGGAGGAGGAGGTTTTACACAGCCGTAACGTTACGCTCGGTGTGGTTCCAAACCATGTTTAAGTCTATAAAAACCAATTAAAACCTAACAGCCGGATGCCGTAGGCTTGCTTGCGTGGCGATGTGCGTCGTGCTCTTGAAAAAAAACATCCTTAGCTCAATTTGGGGCCAAAGGAATGCAACTTTCTTGAGGACGCTACATTTTACATAGTGCAGCCATTTGAGAGAACGGGGTTGGAGCATCGTAACCAGTGCAGAACCAGGATAGAGGAAATTGAAAAATGTCTAAAAATGTGTAACATAAGATATGAACGGCTGCAAATGACGCAATTATTGACCGATGATCCGCGCAGCTTAAATATTTCGTGCATAATCACCCAAGATCCGTGGTATCGTAAATCCTGGAAACCAAATTCGAGGGCTGACGCCTGCATGTCAAACTTCTATACAATGAATGCTTACTTGGTCCGCTGTAACCTGCAGCTCTTTGCAGTTATCACCTAGACATCACCTGTTGACAACCGACGTTCAGTGAGTGTTCGATTTTGTCTGCATTGTCTACTCCGGGGCCAGGCCGCTGCGATGTCACGTGGGGTTCCTCATTTCCGTAAACCTGAAGCGTCGGGGCGAGCCCGCTGTGTCTGACGGCCTATGAATGACCTGAGGGCGATAATTTAGACCCTGGGAGCGGTCCGCCCGACTTGAGGTCCCATCTCACACCGCATCTCAGGTGGTGATTCAGGGAATCGCGGCTTTGTTTACGGCTGTTTATTTGCTTTGCATACCGATGTCCTTACGGATGTTGGCCACGGCCGTGCCATTCATCGTGGGTATTTCGCCTTCGGTACCTACCCGGGGGAGCGGAAGCGGTCCTCAACTGTATAAAGAGAGTGGTTAATCTACCCGGCGAATTCTGAAAGAACCCTCCATTTGGAACATGGAGAATGTGGAACACGGAAGAGAACCTTTCCATGACATAGTGTGTGCACCAAAAAACCGATCAAACGTGGACCAATAACATTTATGTCAATGCTAAATGAATGTGATGCGGGGGATGTATGGTGCATGGCACATCCACGGCCGTGTAGCCTCGACATCATCCATGCCGATTTGGGCGGGGAATGACAAAACTCCTGAACAGGAGCCAGGCTCGGAACCCAGGATCTTCCGCACACGGTTGTGAGGCGAACGCTCTCCCAGCCGAGGTACTTCGTCGCTGGCAATACGACTCACAGTGCATTATCGCCTCAATATGAACTGCCGGCCGACGTACTGAGCCCCGAGATGGAGGGCGTAGATCTACTCTCGATCCCATCGGATGCAGCTGTGCTGGCCAGAGGCCCCGGAATGTTGCCTCTGCTGGACAGCTTGTTAGCAAATCGTCCCTGAGGATTTCTGGTGTGTTATGCAAGGCCGTTGCGCGCCCGTTCGCGGCGAATGCTTCTCCGCCTTGCTGGATGAATTCGACGCCCCGGGGGGGGGGGGGGGGGGGCAATGAGTACACGTAATCACTTGCATGCAAGCTATTGCGACTTCCACTCGCTATGGTGCGATGCTCGGGTGCTAACTACTACACGCCAACTGGGACTTTTCTGAAAAACAACGGATGGGAGACAAAGCCAACGCAGACGAAGAATAAATGCTCATACATATGCAGGATATAGACCTGCAGCTCCCCTATATGGCCATACTGAGTCTCCGCCAATGCCGCCGACGCACCCCGCAAACAAAACATAAGGCTTCTTGACGACGCCATTCCAAGGATGCTGCGCGTGTCAGTGACCTGCTGACCCAGTATGCAGCGCAACCAAAGCCGCCGCCGGATGCACACCACAGCAGAGGCCCCCCCCCCCCCCCCCCCCCACGTCGTCCCGAAACCCGACCGGTCGGCGCTGGGGCCGCGAGCTGTTTCACAAGCGCGGCTATTGAGGAGCCGGCGGCCGATCGGCGGCGTCAGCGACTCGCCGTCCCCAGCGACTCGCCGACGCAGCGGTCCACGCCGCATCGAGGCCGCTGTCGGCGACAACAGCGTCGCGCGCCGCCGCGGTCCGGCAGGCGCCGGCCGCCGCCATGGAGCGGCGCGCGGTGGTGACGCTGGCGCGCTGGTGGTGCCGCGGCGGCGCGCTGCTGGTGCGCCTCCGCGCCAGCGGCGGCGCCTCGCTGCTGGCCTGGCGCTGGGCTGGCGCGCTGCTGCGCCGCTGGAGCCGCGCTGGTCGCGCCGGCGCCGTGCTGGTTGAGCGCTGCTGGGTCGGCTGCCAGGTGTGGCGCGGCTCGGCCGCTGGCGCCGGCCGCTGGCGCTGGGTGCTGCTTGAGTGGAGCTGGACCTGCTTCGGCGCGGTGCTGGACGGATGGCATGGCAGTGGTCAGGCGATGGTGCTGCGCGGCTGCGGCGTGGCGCTGAGGGTGCTGAGCTGCGCCAGGCTCCTCGGCAGCCCTCGCGCCCCGGTCGGCTGCAGAGGGAGCCACCAGGTCGGTGTGAGTAGCCCAACTGCGTCGGAAGAGGTCCCTCAGCAGGTGGCGACAGCTGTACTTCAGTGGTGCTCTCACGCTGGTGCTGCGATTAGCATTGATGATGCCGCTTCTTGTCGATTTATTTGGATGTATATTTGTCTTGGCTGTTTGGTGTGATGCCCATGGGCCTGGTTCTTTGCTGACTGATTAGTTTGCGGTCCTCCGTAACTTGTGGGATGCTTATTTTGAGGATGGCGGGGGGGGGCAGGGTAGTTGTCAATCTCCCCCCTGCCCCGTCGAATTTTGGGAATCACTTTCGAGCCGTGTTGCGCGGATCCACCAAATTTTCAACACCCGACGAGTGATTCATTCGACACGTTCCGGAAAACCAAAAGCCAAAGTCGGTGCTAGATAGAGGTTATGACGTCTTCAGCGAAAGCTTGCACGGTGATTTTTGTCTATACACACAATACTTTTTCACTTTTGCTTTAGATTGCTTCGGTGTGTTGAACTGTCTGCCAAGGTCAGCCATACCAGACAACGTCTCACCAGGTCATCATAAGAGTCACATAAGCCAGCTTACAGGGATCGAACTATGTGATTTGTTACGTATATTCGTGATAACTCCATTTCCAAACTATCAGCCTCTATATGCCGGAAGTATGAACCGGAAGAGCAGTAGGATTGGGTCCAACGAGG